TAGAAAGCCAAAGACATTTGAAGCATAATTTTGTAACACTGAATTATGCAGTTTCATGTTGAGGAAAACTATTTAAATCCCATTGCACAGAAGCTGACATATTAAAAATTAAACTGCTATCAAGGCATTCAGGGATCGATATGCGGAGCACTCGCACGAAACACTCGGTTCTATTTTTATGCCATTCTTGCTTTGTAACTTACCATAAAGACAAACTTTCTTTTGGCATTAGAACAGGGCATGTCATCTCAGGAAGGATGTAAGTCTTGGATAATGAAACAAATTTTTCATACTTGTATACAAAGTTGGTTTGCTTTGGCTGGCAAAGGGGCCTCAAATTTGTCATCCCATGCCACTTTTTAAAATCAAGTTAGTCTGTCACTCCACCCTCTCAAAAGAGGATCTGTGAAAGTCCCTGGCTGGTTAGTGATGCATGTTTGACTTTTCACACCTCAGATCAGCATCAAGTTTAACAGTTTCTGCATAGCAGGAAACTAAAACCAAATTAGGTACGTACGTACGTACGTATGTATCTATCTCACAACATGCTTTCAGTATTTACTCCAATATGATGTTTTAACTACACTTATTTCAGAGTTAGCCTAGTGTAACATTTATAACTGAGTTAAAGCAAACTTGACTTGAATCTTGCATTACTTGTTAACACACAACAATCTTTAATCTGCATGACAAGTCACACAAGCAATTGCCCCCTATCATTATGCATTTTTGTCCTGGTCCCTACACACTGCTTCCCACAATCAAGAAACGGTGGCCAAGCATGACCTTGGTTTACTATCTCCTAACTCTTGTTTGGAACATAGAGCAGCTGCAAAACCTCCACAAATGCAGCAAACAAAAGGCTAGAAAACTTGAGCTAGCTTGTTTTGCACTGAGTTTTTGACATCTGTCAGTAATTTCAACTAACTTATTTCTTATACATCTAAAACCTCACTAATTCCCACTTCAAAAGACTTGCTTCAAATTACTATCACTGTTACAAAAGGAGGTCAAGAGCTATGAATCCATTAATGGTCGATTTTTTATCTACAGATTCTTAACTAATTTAATGATTCAACTGTAAGTAGCATCTTTCATGACTCTTGGCCATTGCTTTTAAAGAAATGTTTTGCTCAAATCTAAGATTATGCAAGTTATCCAAAGACATTTTCCATGTATCAGAACATAGCCTGTAATGGCACAGAACTATATTTAAAAGAATCAGCTCTTTCTCACCACTCCCTGTTCTTAAAAGTCACGAGTAGGAAAGCAAGAATTCACATCACTTTCCTGTCATATACTAGAGATTGCATTCTGAAATAATTTACAGATTTAAAACTCTTAATGAAGCCATAGCCTTATCACTTGCTTTAATTATTTTTTTTTTAAACACAGTTAATGAATAGGCTTCAAGACTAAGAAGATCCTTTCATCTGAGTAGCTAAATGCTAATTATCTTTCTATGCTTCAGACAACTTTTTAGTTCAAATCTAAACCTTTCAAATGAAATTGTTATTTAGAAACAAAAACTGAATAAAAATTTGCCTGTGACAGACTAAAGTTCAATTCCTGTTAAACAGGACACAAATACTGCTTTTCTGCAATTTCAGCACACTTACAGGTAAACCAAATCAGTTAAATAATTTTAAACCTTCACCTCAAAAATCCTAGAGCAAATATTGATGCCACTACAATCATTGTTTCAGTCATATAATGTGCTCCAAGATACTTAATCTCCCTTCACAAACTCACGAAGTATCATTAGAGAAGATACTTATAAGACTGTGTTGCAGTACACAAAATACTTTAAATAAATCCTGTTTGAGAAGTTAGTTATCCTTATGAACAGATCTTAATCTCATGACATAAAGTAGTTTAAAATCGTTATTAATTAGGTTTATATCAATTTCATGCTTGTGACTTGAGAATGTGGAGGCTGAGAGGAGCTGACTTTAGTCATGGTATGGGTTGTGGTGCTGCATGCCTGTGTCACCCAGGACACCGACTTCTCTGACCTGAGAAATGCTCATTATGCCGTGGCCGTGATGAACTGCACTTGGACTAAATTCCCCTTGAGCTTATCAGAAACACTGTCTGTTCCCAGGAACTAACAGGTGTCTAATGAACATCTGCTTTTAAAAAACAGCCTTGGAAATTTATATTTCTTGTCTGAATAACAACCCAAGTGGAATAATATTTTTGTTGTTGAACAGCCAAAGAAAGTTACCAACTCATATTGGCCAGAATGGAAAATTACTACAACTAAAGCCCACTCTTGCTACCCTATAAATAGTGGTCCAAAGTGAAACTCTTTTGAGCTCTGTATTATAAGGGGCTATTGTGTATTAAAGCCCATTGTCTAACAACCCTATAAACAGCAGTCCACAGTGAGATCCCTTTGAGCTCTTGATTCCCATAAGATAAGAGGCTAATGTGTATGTCTCAAACACAGAAAACTGGATGGCTGTGGAGCCAGCCAAGGACTGTTACTACTAACAGACAAGAATTGCTGGTAAATCCAAGGACTATTGGTATTAACACACCATGAGAAAGAACAGGTTTTGGCTGGAGAAGGGAGGTCAAGTGGAGATAGAGAAGCACTTTTCCTTTAGAAAGAACACACTAAGCAAGTGCAGGAAGTGGACATGGACTATAGGGTGGGATTAAAACCACTAAAGACCTGCAAAACCATCTGACACATTTCCAGAAAGGTCTGAAAGAACGGACTGTGCTTAACTAATTTACATCATGAACACTCTCCTCAATAAACTTAGTTGTTAATATAGAGCATAAAACCAACCTAGGAAAAGCCCATTTACTTCAGATTCATATAGCATATTACAATTATTAGGTGTGATGAACTGAGTGTTATAAAGGCGCCTATTTAGAAATATTCAACAGTGATTTTTTTGCAGTTCAAATCAAAATATTTACATGATAATGAAATTACATGTTATTTTATAGAGTTGTATTTTATAAACTAGGAAAAAGAAAACAGAATATTTGAAAACAGTTAACAGTCATCCAGCATGACCTAAGTGGTTATGACAAGGTACAGATCTGAGAATCTTAAGTGTTCTGGTTACTTATATATGTTATTATAATAGATACTTTAAAATTGCTAGAAGAATAAGCCATTGCCTCAAGCTATGCCTACACCACTCATAGTAACTGTGGTGCTCTCATTATTTACACCTTGGCAAGACAGGATTAGTAACTAAATCAGCCACTAAGAAAACATCAGTGACCAAGACTCCTTTCTAACCCCACTCAACTCCCTCTGATGGGTTTTGCTACTGACATGACTACATTTACAGAAAAACCATGGTTTAAAACTTTCACTTGGCTTAACCAAAGATATCCACACATCTAAAACTCTAAGCCAGCCTACAACAGATTTGCACACAATCAGAATCATCTCCTCAGATACCTGTTTTAAAGCATTAGCTAGAAGCCCATGGTTAAGTGTGGTTTCAGAATACAAACCCTAATTTTACACCAACACTTAAGAAGATACTACAAGAGAAGAGTCACTAAAAAAGAGGAAGGGAGAAATAGAAAATTCAGTTTGGACACACTACTGTATCTCTTACACATGGACAATCCTCATTAAACTAGTGGCTGTAAACTGCATTTCTCTCCATTTAAAGACTTTTTTACTGCATAAAGGAACACTGCTACTCCTTTGGGGCAGAGAATTAGCCTCAGTTAACAAAGCTTTCTGTTTTCTGTATAACAGTTCAGAATCACAGTCCAGGCCTGAAGGGGTCATTAAAGATCACTTAGTCCAACTCACCTGCTGCAGGCAGGGACATCTTTCCTTAGATAGTTGAGCAAAGCCCCATCCAACCTGTTCTAGAACACTTCCAGGAATGAGGCACCCACTACTTCTCTGGGAAAGCAGTTACAGCATCTCACCACCCTCACAGTGAAGAATTTATTTCAATATCCAATCTAAATCTACCCTCTTTCACTTTAAAGTCATTACCCCTTGTCCTATTCCTACACGCCCTGACTAAGATTTTATACATGGTGATCATAGAAATAATTTCAAAAAGGACTTAAAATCACTTAATCCTCTATACAAAGAAACGCCAGTAATCTGCATTTATGTTGCTCCTGATGAATTTGTTCGTAAGCTGCTCTTTAAAACTTTCACCTACCCAACAGTTTGTTTAGCATTTGCATGACACTACATTAGAAGGTATTACTTAAGTATTTAACTTTTTTTGTTGCTATTTATTACTTAAAATTTATTACCTCCTTCCCTATTCAAAAGAAATACAAGTCACAGAGTATTCTGTGTTCTTGCTAACATCCTCTGAGCTCCCCAGCCAGTCCATCTCTAATGCATATTGTTCAAAAGTGAACACAGTACTCCAGCTGACACTTTACAGATACTGGAAAAGAAGGAATACCTCCTAAAAGGGAAGGAATACTTGCTTTAAAAACAAAGGACATGTTTTTCAGAAATTCAGTCAACTGACTTCTAGTAATTTAATCTTAAATGCCTGTCTATCTTCCTCACAATTACATTACTTGAGTAGAAAAATTTTTAATCAAAATGCAAGTGATTTTAAGCCACCCTGATACAAACAAGTGCTTGAACACTGCAGAATTCTGGTTTGCCATCAAGGGAGAAAAAAATTCCAGGTAAAAAAATTGAATCAGCTTTCCTGGTTCTCTTGTTGGTGCACACACCTGCTCCAAAATTCCTCTATAGACATACATTCAAATTATTCTATCCCTACACATTTTAAAGATATTAAAATTGATGTTCAGCAATGAAACACAAAGTGATAGAAAAGGCATCTCAGTTTAGGTCACTAGTGTGTCTTATTCACAAATACTGTGGGGCCTAACAGATTGAAATTCAAACCCAGTGTAAGCCCAGTTTCATTTATGTACCAAGTTATGACTTGGACTGCATCAATAAGATCTGATCTTACAATAGCATGAGTGTGATGCTCAGGGGCACTGCAGTAATAACCAATCCCTACCGTTCCCGGTTAAATTTGAGTGAATGAAGTATAGCTGGTCTCTTCTGGCGCAAGTTCCACAGGTGTAAGGTGTCGTCAGCCAAGGCACTCACAAGAGCTCCCTAGGAGAACAAAAACATTTTAGTTAACTTGTTTTCATAACCCTAGGAACAGCATAGCATCACAGTGGAAATACCTTACATATTTATTACCAGGATGAAAAAAATGTATAAGCATCTCCATCAGCACCATAGTACAGATAAGTTCTAAGCAGTAGGAGTGAGATAACTGATGTGATCACATCTTGTTCAGCTCACTCATATTTTGTTCAGTGCTATAATGAGAGATGATGGAGGAGTTTTTTCCAGTGTGTGCCCATCAGTTTCCTCATGCACATTTCTGCAGAGAAATCAAGCAATGAACTGCTAATATCTGGGTGCTGACAAAGTTAGCAAGATCCCTCTGAAAATCTGTCCCTAGCACAAGAACAGCACTGCTGTCAAATCTCAGCTGCTACATCCTTAGAAACACACATCTGAAACTGAGGCAACTTTATTCAGTTCATGTCTAAGACAGTAACTCTATCAAAATAAAATTAACTACCTACTGAAACTGGTAGTATTATTGAAAAAGTACTTCACAAATTCCAGAGATAACTTGCAACATTCAAGTACATGAAAAGATATTCCTAATAATTTTTTATAGCAAAAGAGTACTTTAGAGATAAAGACCTTTTTAGAAGTTAGTCAAACATTTTCCAAAACTAAAAAAGTCAATTTTTTTATAGTTGTTATTACAGTTCGCTCTTTGTGATAGATCGCTTATATCTGGTAATTTTAATGTTTGCATCATGAAAAATTTAAGAAAATATGTTCCATATCTTCTGTGAACTACATCATTTTACTAACCTCATTAATCAGGAACTGAAGTTGGATTACTGCAGCTCCACTGTCATGTTGACAGTAGCATTCAACTCCTGGCCGACCAAAGCTGGAATTGGTACCATTAAGGAATAACTTGAAGAATGATGAAGTAATTATTTTAACAATGTTAAATATCAGGACTAGAATTAAAGGAAGTTAATCTAAATAACCATCATAAACAAATTATTACATTTTTCAAATGCCAAAGGATCTTTCTCTCCATTTAAACATTACTTAAGGATGAAAAGAGCTGAATAACGCAAAGCACTTTAAAAAAAATCTGCTGTGACAGAGATGAGAAGATCAGTAGTCAAAATATGGAGGAGTCAATGGGAAATAATGTATAATGTAAATTTTCAGGATCTCTGTAACAAGACTTCCTGGATTCACACCAGTTATGACATAGCAAAAGCTTGCTCATTTTCATTCTCACACATAAATCAGTCCTATCCTTCCATAATGAATACTGATAGAAACAGCAGCAAAACAGATTCTTTCACTTCTCCATAGTTAAGTTTTAGTTACAAACATTCTGTATTTTAAATGTGGTTATGTACCTGCTTTTGATACAAAATTAAGTTCTCCAACATCTAGGAGACTGAGCAGAAATAAGAGAGGAATTAAGCAAACCGGTCAGTATTTCATCATCATTGTATGCCCAGGGTTTCTGGACTATAATTTGTCAGGGTTGAACACTTCTTGTTTTAAAGAAGTATCTTAGCTTTCAGAAGCAAAGAAATTATTCCAAAGCTGTATGCAAAACAGAGAATATATGTACTATTTTTTTCTCTCGGCATATGCTAAAAATTAATAAAACAGTACAACTCTCACTCATTCTGCCAGCTTTCAATTTAATGAGAAATAGCTGAGCAAAACCAAAGCGGATAATACGTGCATTCTTAAAAACATGTGCATTCATGCTACAGGCAGTTGAAAGGCTGAAAAGACTATTAGGCTGCATGCAAATCAAAACTCAAACACATCTCCTTCTCAGCCTCTAAGCCTCTAAGTAAAATAAAATGTAGAACAACAGCAGGGAGTAGTCTGCTTCAACACACTGCTATATTTTAACTTTTAAACTTGAATCACATTCTTCTAGACTAATGAATCTGCATAACATCCAGCTAAGTGGTGAGATATACACTAGACAGATGTTGAATAATCCATCAAACTTAATACCAGCTTTCTTCGCCTGAGTAATTTAATTTCGTTCTGCCTTGGAAGGACTTCAAGACTCAGCGAGCCTCACCTGCTTTTTTGCTTTTACATTTTTATCATTAAGGGTTTTTTAACAAACAAGTAATCTATATTCCAGTCAATTTATAGCTTAAAAAAAAAAAAAAAAAAAAAAGTGGAGGGGGTGTTGTCCCCATGAACGATACCTTCCTACACAAACTCAGAATACTTTTAATGTAAAGTAGTTGCTTTTACATTAACTATGGATTGACTACACAAATTGCCAGATTGAAAAATCCACAAGGAAAAACATGAATTTCAGAGCTGATTGCCTTCAGCCTTGCTCATGCATCTGCATTTGCTTGAATTAATAATTATTTGCAGAAGTAGACGAAAACAATTTTCAAATGTGAAATTCAAAGGCTTACCAGAATTGAATTTTAAAACTTGTTTATCTGCACTGACACAGGTAGTTTTCTAATAAAAGATTTTTCCCAGCCCCTCCCCAGAACAACATTTTCCAACATAATTAAATGCAAACCTTGTTCATAAGCCCAAAGTTTATTTGGAATTGAGACTCCACAGCTACTTTGCTTCATAAGAGGAATATGACCCAGCAAAACCTACATCCATAAACTGCTCAAGCTGCTTCTTCCTTCAAATTCTATTCCGCAGATGCTTTCTGCAAGCACTTCTGATGCTAATGTTTCTGGAAGCACTACTACAACTAGTCGGTAAAAATTTCATTATTAAGAATATTTCAGTGTTTCCTTAAACAAAAAATTCTTCCACATTTTCCAGGACACCTGAACCATTTTTCCAGAAATCGGTAAATATGCAGCACTGGGAGTAAGATTACACAAGTCTTAAATATTCAGAGAAAATCTCTCTCTGATAAATTAGTGGAAACCTCACATCCAGATGTGAAACTAGTCTGGCCTCTTCTATAGTGCTCACTGCCATTTAATAGTCCTTACAGCTAGTCCTATTTAGTTCCTTTACTCAAGGATTATGTCATCTTCGCTTTTTCACCTAGTAGCTAAAATTATTCTACTCAAATTAATATCATCCTCCTAACCAGCATTAATCTTCTTTTCTAAAGCAATGTAAAGCCTCCCAGTTTTGCAGGGTATGCTGAATTGAAAAAGTACGTCACAAAGACTGACTGTAGAAGGACAAAACATGCCTGTTTCAGTACATGTGAAGCATTTCTCAACCACACAAAACAGGCAGCAGCCCAGGGAATGCAGTTTGCCCAAATCTGCTGCACTTGTGTATGTGTGCTTTAGGCAAGAGAGCTCACTGTACTAAGCAGTGATCATCTACTACATTGTTGTTCCCAAAACAGGAAAAAATCATAATGAATAATGACAACATGAGCAAAGCATTTTAATTTTGTAGACAGGAAAAACTCTCTGCCAAAGACCTAGGGTGGCTCTAGAGGAAATACTCTGCTCGGAGCAGTTTTCTAATCAAAGACCCATCCCTGCTTCATCCATGATTCCAAATATTAACAAATTGGATAAATTAATAGCTTCTAAGCTGTACCTTCGAATATTGCTTCTATGTTCCCCACTGCCATTTGTAAATTAACCCAAGAAAACACTATTATTTCATTGTCTTTACTGCATATTTTTTGCAAAAACAAGGGACAACAGCTGTGCCTGAGAGAAGAAAAAGATAACGTGCTCATGTCCTAGCATTAGAGCTCATTTTCATAACTGCTAGAAGTGCAGGTAATACACAAGGAAATCACAGTATGACCTTAATTTAATATCACATATGATTAAATTCACTTTAATTTATGAGAAAAAGCAACATTTGCAAAATGTATTTTTTCCAACAAGCTTCAGATCTAAGCTTACACTTCAAGCATCTCATTTAGCAATATGCAAGTTGTCTCCTCAAAATACTGTTTTTTTTTAAAGTTATTACTATTATTTACAGCTTACCTGCACAGTAGCAATTCAGTGCACATCTGCCCATAGAAATCACATTTGAAAGAGAAAATTAATTCCAGATGAAAGTCAGAGACCAGTCTTTCTATTTTTTTTTTTTTTTTAAATTCTTTAGTTACTGTAAGCAGACCTAGGGACTACTGGGGCATTCTTCACCTGTGGTTGACCCAACTGACATACATGACAGTCCAAAATCTGTACCTATCAATTCAACCCTTAGCATAAGGCAGTTGTCAAAAAATCACAGAATCATTTAGATTTAAGAAGACCTCTAATTTAATCAAGTCTGGCCTTTGACTAATCACCACCTTATCAGCTAGAGAATGGCACTAAGTGCCATGTCCAGTCTTTTCCTGAACACAACCTTTTCCATGAGAGAATTCTTCCAGATATCCAAACTAAACCTCCCCTGACACAACTTGAAGCTCTGTTCTCTTGTCCTGCTATCAGCGGCCAAGGAGAAGAGGCTGACCCCACCTGGCTGCAGCCTCCATCCAGGCATTTGTAGAGAGTGGCAGGGTCACCCCTGAGCCTCCTTTTCTCCAGGATAAACACTCCCAGCTCCCTCAGTGCTCCTTGTAGCACTTGTCCTCCAGACCCTTCCCCAGCACTCTCCAGTGTCTTCTTGCAATGAGGGGCCCAGAATTGGACACCACTCGAGGTGTGGTCTCACCAGTGCCAAGTACAGGGGGACAATCCCTGCCCTGCTCCTGCTGGCCACGCTGTGTCTGATAGAAGCCAGGATGCCACTGGCCTTCTTGCCCACCTGGGCACACACTGGCTCATGTTCACTTGGCTATCAAAAAGCACCCCCAAGTCCTTTTCCATTGGGCAGCTTTCCAGACACCTTTCCTCAAGCCTTTAGCATTGCACGGGGCTGCTGTGACTGAAGTGTAGGCCCCAGCACTCGGCCTTGTTGAACCTCCTAACACTGGCCTCAGTACATCGATCCAGCCTGTCCAGATCCCTCCCACCTTCTACCAGATCAACATTCCCATCCCAATTAGTGTCATCTGCAAACTGAGGATGACCCAAACCCCTCACCCAGATCATGAGTAAAGATATTATACAGAACTGGCCCCACCACTGAGCCCTGAGCACTTATGATTGAACACCAACTGGATATGACACCATTCACCACCACCCTCTAGTCTGCCCATCCAGGCAGTTTTTAACCCAGCAAAGAGTACACCTGTCCCAGGCAGCCAGTTTCTCCAGAAGAATGCTGTGGGAAACAGAGTCAAAGGCTTTACTGAAGTCCAGATAGACACCATCCACAGCCCTGCCCCTCATGCATGAGGTAAGTCACCTGGTTTCCTAAACCCATACTGGCTGAGCCTGACCCCTTGGCTCTCCTGTAAGTGTGGTCATAGTCAAGATAACCTATTCCATAACCTTCCTGGACAGCAAGGTCAGGCTAACAGGCCTGTAGTTCCCCAGATCCTTCTTCCGGACCTTTTTGTGGATGGACGCCACCTTGGCTAACCTCCAGTCGACCTTCCTGGGTAGCCAGGACTGATGACAAACGATGGAGAGCAGCTTTGTGAGCTCTTCCACCAGCTCCCTCAGTACACTTGGATGAGTCCCACCCAGTCCTATAGATGTATGAGTGCCCAAATGGCTCAGCAGGTCACTAACTACTTCCTCCTGGATTCCAGGGGGTCTGTTCTGCTTCCCGTCCCAGTCTTTCAGCTCAGGAGGCTAGTAGTTATCTTGATGTATACATAAAAACATGAATAATTTAAATTATTTTCTAAACTTTCATCACACAGATATTGGAATCTTTTTTAATTGCGTTGTGATAAGAAGTCTTGATAGTACAGCAAAGACAGACCAGGTATCCGATTTGCCACTGTTACAACAGCTCAAGAGTATAAAGACAAATCTGAAACTCTAGCAGCTTTTAATATTCACTACTCGATACATCTCAAAA